TCTTACTATTTTACAATGCGAACCGAAGGCGACGCGAATGATTGGCAGATCTGGAGCATATATTAGGCAGATCCAACGGCTGACAGACTCAAACCGCCATGGAGGCTCCTAGCTAGCCGAGTTATACTGTTTTGTAATTTGGATCCCAAATAGGAAGGCGCGCTCATTGAGTTCATTTGTGAGAACCGGGACATCTTTGCATGGAAACCTTCTGACATGCCAGGTGTACCGAGAGAACTCGTTGAGCACACTCTCAATATTGATACAAAATTTAAGCCGGTCAAGCAGTTTCTTCGGCGATTCAATGAGGAGAGTCGTAAGGCCATTGGTGAGGAAGTGGCCCGGCTCTTGGCGGCCGTGTTCATTGTTGAAGTTTTTCATCCAGAGTGGTTGGCTAAACCGGTGCTTGTGCTTAAGAAGGACGGCACCTGGCGTATGTGTGTGGATTACACGGACTTAAACAAGGCTTGTCCAGCTGATCCCTTCGCTCTCCCTCGTATTGATCAAATCATTGATGCTACGGCGGGTTGTGAGCATTTGAGCTTTTTGGATGCTTATTCTGGTTATCATCAGATCAAGATGGCAGTTAAGGACCAGGAGAAGACGACGTTTATTACTTCGTCTGGAGCCTTCTGCTATGTGTCCATGCCTTTTGGGCTTAAGAGTGCCCAGGCGACTTTTCAGCGATGTGTGCAGAACTGTCTTCACAATCAGATTGGGCGCAATGTTCATGCTTATGTGGACGACATTATGGTAAAGTCCAGACAGAAGGAGACCTTGATAGATGATCTGAAGGAAACCTTTGATAATCTCCGGGTCTACAAGACGATGCTTAACCCGTCCAAGTGCGTTTTTGGTGTGCCAGCAGGCAAGCTTTTGGGTTTTCTGGTTTCTAACAGAGGCATTGAGGCTAACCCGGAGAAGATCAAGGCAATCATCTCTTAGGCTAAGCCGGTGTGTATCAATGATGTTCAGCGTTTGGCGGGTCATATTGCCGCTTTAAGCCGGTTCATAAGCCGGTTAGGTGAGAAGGCCATACCGCTGTATCAGATGATGAAGAAGACAGACGACTTTGTCTGGAGTGATGCTGCTAACGCTGCCTTTGAAGATTTGAAGAGACAGCTAGCTGAGCCGCCAGTCCTTGTTGCTCCCATTGATAAGGAGCCATTACTGTTATATGTGACTGCTAACACACATGTTGTCAGTGTGGCCATTATGGTGGAGCGCAAGGAGGCTGGCAAGGAACATCCGATTCAGCGGCCGGTTTACTACATCATTGAGGTGCTTATTGAGTCCAAACAAAGGTACCCACATTGGCAGAAGCTCGTTTATGGGGTGTTCATGGCTAGCCGGAAGCTTAAGCAATATTTCTTGGGTCATCCCATCATTGTGGTCAGTTCTGCTCCTTTGGAAGATATCATTCAAAACAGAGAAGCCACAGGATGAGTCGCAAAGTGGGCTATTGAACTTGGGCCTCATGGCTTAAAATATGTGTCACGCACTGCTATCAAGTCTCAAGCACTGGTGGACTTCATCAACGATTGGACAGAGCTACAGATGCCTGAAGAGAAGCCGTACAACACATATTGGACTATTCACTTTGATTGGTCCAGGCAATTGGAAGGCTCGGGGGCTGGAGTTGTTTTAGCTTCCCCTCGAGGTGACAAATTTTGTTATGTGCTACGATTGATGTTTCCCTGTATTAATAATGCAGCTGAGTATGAGGCCTTGCTCCATGGTCTTCGGATGGCTAAGGAGATGAGCTTAAGCCGGGTAAGGTGCTTTGGTGACTCAGATTTGGTGGTTCAACAAGTATCAGGCAAGTGGGATTCCAAGGATCCTCTCATGGCGGCTTATCACCGTGAGGTTGATGCCATTGCTGGACACTTCAAGGGTTACCAAGTGGAGCACATTGATCGCAGAAAGAATGAGGCGGCTGATGCTTTAAGCCAGCTGGGGTCTCAGCGTAAGCCGGTGCCACCTAATACCTTCTTGGATATTCTGCATAACCCTTCTGTCAAGTTGCCTACAGAGGAAGACTTGGTTGTTCCTGACCGGAAGCGCAATTGGTGGCGGCTCTTCACGTCATCCTAGATTAGACAGTGCCATATTTGGCTTATATGACCCGAGGCCAGTTGCCTGAGGATGAAACCTTGGCCAGGCAGATAACCCAACGGTCTAAGTCAATGACAATTATCAATGGCGAGTTGCATCATCGCAGTGTCACTGGGGCATTTCAGCGTTGTGTCTCTCCTGAGGAAGGTCAAGAAATTCTTTGTGAGATTCATGAAGGAGATTGTGGCCATCACGCCGGTTCAAAGTCCCTTGTGGCCAAGGCTTTTTGTCATGGATTTTATTGGTTGACGGCTCATGCTGATGCGAAGGATCTGGTCAGTAAATGTGACGGTTGTCAGAAGTTCTCAAGACGTGCTCACGTGCCAGCTCAAGAGTTGAGGATGATTCCAATTACTTGGCCGTTTGCAGTATGGGGACTCGACATGGTTGGGCCTTTCAAAAGGTCCAAAGATAAAAAAACGCACCTCTTGGTGGCGGTGGACACATTCACAAAGTGGGTTGAGGCAGAGCCAGTTAGTAAGTGTGATGCAGCCACGGCGGTTCAATTCATGAAAAAGGTGATATTTCGTTTTGGCTTTCCACACAGCATTATCACTGACAATGGTACTAATCTGTCCAAAGGCGCCATGGAGGAATTCTGTCAACATGAGCATATCCGGCTTGATGTTTTATCAGTAGCTCACCCTCAATCCAATGGTCAAGCTGAAAGAGCCAATCAGGAAATCTTGAAAGGCATCAAACCCCGGCTTATGGTTCCTTTGCAACAGACACCGGGTTGTTGGGTGGATGAGTTACCTTCTGTGATATGGAGCATCAATACTACCCCCAACAGGTCTACGGGTTACACGCCTTTCTTCATGGTTTACGGAGCAGAGGCGGTTCTACCTAGTGACATCCGTCATGGTTCGCCCCATGTGGCGGCTTACGTTGAAGCTGATAATGAATAGGCACGTCAGGATGCCCTTGACTTGTTAGATGAAAAGCGTGACTTGGCAGCAGCCCGCTCGGCGATTTACCAATAGGACCTGCGCCGTTATCACAACCGCCGGGTTAAGTCCAGAACCTTTCAAGAAGGTGATTTGGTGCTCCAGCTCATCCAGGATCAAACTGATGCACACAAGTTATCCCCACCTTGGGAAGGGCCCTTTGTGGTCAGCAAGAACTTGAACAACGGGTCAAACTACCTTATCGATGTTCGAGAGCACAAAGACTCACGTAAGTCGGAGAAGGAGACCCGCCGGCCATGGAATATCGCTCATCTTCGGCCTTACTACACTTGAGCCACCGGCTCTCATGATGTACATATTTTAACGATATATATATTATGATAAGTAATAAAAGCAGGACCTCTGTCCTTTTCATCCTCAATGATTATATATCTTCATCATCATCATTTCAAAACGACCAATTGGGGGCTGATCGTATTCGAATCTAGCTTAACCCTCTTGGTCCAGCTCATGATCGTATTCGAATCTAGCCGTTAAACCTCATGATCACTAGGAGGCTTCCTGTTCAAACATAGGTCGTATTCGAACCAAAGAGAACATAGTTGTCGGTACCCTCTTGATCGGCACAATGCCAAACTCACTAGGGGGCTTCTTGATCGTATTCGAATCATAGCTTAACCCCTTTTGGGTCCGACTTTGATCGTATTCGAGTCAGAGTCGTGAAAAAACTCTCAAGGTCATTTGGGGGCTTCCTGTTCAAACATAAGTCGTATTCAAACCAAAAAGAACATAGCTGTCGGTACCCTCTTGATCGGCGCACCGGTATGAGGGGCGTCGGTGAGCCGGATGAATAGGGCCGGTGTGAGGGGGTCGGCTGGGTCATGATTTTGTGCCCGGTCCTTGACAGGCCGCTGAGACATATATGGGTGTGATTGAGGAGCCCAGATGCTCTGAGTTCATTTCAAACGCAGACCCTCAAAACACACACAAACGTTCGAATCGAGGTGTCCGAAGGATGTAAGCCATCCAATGTGATGCTACATCTATGCGCAGACGTGTCCGCTTGTCTCAATTCTCGCAAATCGGACGAAGACCAAGGGGAGGTTCGCCAGAGTTTGGACATCCACCACGTACGCGCCTAGCCGGCCGGACCCACCCAAAACACTCTCCGTGCGAAACGGTTGACGCACATTCATGCCGCTCAAGTTGCTTCAGAGTGGACGTGACTCTACAACGTTGATGCCATTCAGAGCGATGCGGTCGGATGAGGCGGCGGTGCCGCTTCAATGGTGACATGACCAGGCATACGGAAGGGCCACTAGATAGCCCGACCAGGCATACGAGGTCACCGGTCATCGTCCGCTATAAATTACTTTAGAGTTTTTCTAAGTTTTAGTTGAATATACAAAATATCATTCGGTTTATGTAAATTATATCAATTATTTGTCATTTGCATGGATTACATCATGTTTGCATAATATCTGTCCATCTGGTTTAAATTTTGCTTGTATTGCGGACGAAAGTTTAGGGCAAGCTTTCGATGACCGGCTACATATCAATGTCCACGGATGCAACAAATACCATGTCTTTTTTCGGCCGGCGTTAGAGATGCCCTAACGTAACTTGTAGCTTTATCACGTACTCCCACCGTTGAAAAAAATATAAGAGCGTGTAAATCACTAGTACTCCCTCCGTCCGGAAATACTCGTCGGAGAAATACATAAAAATAAATATATCTAAAGCTAAAATACATCTAGATACATCCATTCCTCCGACAAGTATTTCCGGACGGAGGGAGTACTTCTTTACAGAGGAACGTATATTTGTCGTTGGTTTTTGTGACAGCGTGTTCATTCTGACATTCTCTCCTTACATTTGTTCAGCTTCCAATAAATGGGAGATCCTTTGTTTAACAACAGTCGAGGTATACAGCAATTATTCCGTGTTCATGCTTCTTCGAAATGTAGCCATGTCGTATTACTTGCTGACGCTCAGATCCCGGCAACGTTGCACGAATTGGGCCAAGCTCCGGTAGCTCGTGCCGCCGTCGGCGACTGCCTTCGCCGCCGCATCCTGGACGCTTACCGCCTTATTCCTCACTGTCTCGTCCGCCATTACAGCCTTCACCTTCTCCGCGATATTCTCCCCGCTCACCACTCCCTCCTCCCCCTCCCAGCTCCACCGCTCCTCCCAGACGCCGAGCCCGCTGCGCGCCACCACGCCGGCGTTCACCCGCTGGTCCCCGAACCTCGGCCACGCCAGAACCGGCAATCCGTTCGCCGCCGCCTCCGTGACCGAGTTCCAGCCGCAGTGGCTGATGAACAGACCGATGGATTCCTGCTTCAAGACCTCTTCTTGCTCCACCCAACCCTTGGTCACCATGCCCCGCCCGTGCACACGCTCCAAGAACCCTTCGCCGAGCAGCTCGCTGAGCTCGGCCTCGTCCTCTCTGTCCACGACGGTGCTTTTCACCACCCACAGGAACCGGTGGCCGCTCGCCTCGAGCCCGACGGCGAGCTCCTTGAGCTGGTCCTTGGATATGGCCTTGCGGCTGCCGAAGCTGACGTACACCACCGATCTCGTCGGCTGCGCCTCGAGCCACCGCATGTAATCAGCTTGATTTTCCGGCGGTTCACCTGCCGAAAAGCTCACCGGAGCGAGTGGCCCAACTGAGAAAACCGGTGGGAACCCGGCAGCGACGGAGCCATCCCGGAGTGCAGATATGGCTTCTGGCTCGAACTCGTCGAAAGAATTGACCAGGAGGCCGTCTGATTTCGCGAGCTCCCGGCCGTTGGCGACGAACTGCCGGGTGAAGAGGTGCTCGGGGTGGTGCAGAGCCTGCGGGATGGAAGCCTTGGGGACGCGGTACACGCCGGGGATGTCGACGTCGCCGACGGGGCCGCCGGCATTCGCGTCGAGGTAGGCGGGGAAGTGGACGCACAGGGAGAGCATCGCGGCGGAGGCGGTGAACAGGACGTAGCAGGGGAGGCGGAGCTCCCTGGCGACGGGTATGACGACGGAGGCCAGCGCGATGTCCGTCACGAGCGCCGACGCGCCGGCACCGGCGAGGAGCGGGCCGAGGAGAGGCGCGGAGCGGCGCATGGCCTCGAAGCGGAGGAAGAAGGGGTCGGCGCCGGGGAACTCGGACGCGTCGAACCGCGCGAGGTGGAAGTCGAGGCGGCGCACGGCCGGGCACGCGCCGAACAGGGCATCGAGGTGCGCGGACTCGGCGGACGACACGGTGGGGAGCACGGTGACGACCGAGACGCCGCAGCCGTGGTCGGAGGAGGAGAAGGACACAGCGAGGCGGCTGAACGGGACGAGGTGGCCCATCCCGGCGCTCGGGAGGAGCACGACATGGGGCAGGGCGCCCGAGCCGTCGCCGGAGGTCGGCATTGCCGTCGAGACCGTGGAGGTTTTCTCGTTGCTGGAAGTGCGAGGAGCGTGGATGCTCTGCTCTTTTTGGCTGGCTCGTGCAGGGCAGGAGGGATAAAGCTCTGCCAAGTCCAGGTGGCTTAATACTAGAGGGCCTCGTTGTTTTGGGAGATGTAGCAGTGCTCTGCGCCGCACGACTCAACAACCAGTTCAGTAGTACAGTAGTCCACAAGCGAATTGCCAGCCAGCGGCGCAGTAGTTGCAACGTCCGGACAGATATACCTGCACGTCGTGTGTGTGAAGTGTGAACTTCATTGCGGAAACGAAGAAGATCTCCACGACCACAAGAACACTGTTCCGCAACTCATGCCGGCGAGTCCGGTTCAGGGTTGCGGAGCGGGAGCGAACGTCGTAGTCGATCATACACAGGTACAGAAAGTAAGTTGACACACAAAAGTAGAGGGGAGTCTTTCTTTATTAATCAACATCAACTGTACATCCACAGGGTGCTCTCCTCCTCATATATCTAGGGATGGAGGAATAAGTGCCTACTTTAACGTTAAGTGGAGGGACTTGGTCTATAATGGGCCAATGACTTGTTCCATCTAAGGCCCAAGTTTCCCAACAAACACAACAGATGACCAATTGCACGATAGGACTGAAGCACCACTGCATCCGCAGGAAACAGCACCTGTATTTTCATTATTCGGCCACGTCAGCAGGGAAGCAGCTTATACAGGACTGCACGACACAGCACCCGCTGACACTCCCCACGCAAAACAAAACCCCAGCAAACAAAAAATACACTGGACATAGCTGGTAATCCTTGTTGGAAATAACCAACATCTTTTAGAGAATCGCTTGTGACCGGTGCGCCGGCCCAAACTTCGGCCGGTCTTGTTCATCACGCAGTGCTGCCTAATCCACTCGCGTGGCTCCTTCTCCAATCGTTTTCTTCGGCAAACTCTTCCGAGCAGGCTCCCATGGCGCCGCCGTGAGCTACTCCAACGCCGTTGCCATCTCGTTGGCCATGACCGCTATCTCCCAAGCTGCTTCGTCCACCTCCCACCATTGGATGCGACCGCAAGCTGCTTCGTCCACCTCCCGTTATTGGTCGCATTCGACGGAAGACGCTGCTACAACCATCGAAATCAAAAGCTGGAACTAGGTATTGCAAAAGCTACTACCGGCAAAGAAAATGCTGGAACCAGCAATCAAAACATGGGATTGGGAGATGAAATTGCTACAACCGACAAATAGAAAGCTGGAGCCGACAAAGCTGCAACCGGCTAAATCGAAAACAAAGCTATACCAGGAGCACGGCGGCCTTGCAAAAATAATGGTGTTGCATCCACAGCAGTTGCTGGCAACGGCCGTCGCGGCCAACGAGGTCTTGAATTTGTTACAACCGGCAACCGCAAAAGCTACCATCGGCGATTTTTTTTTGCTTCGACAGACATGGATGGGGATCCTCAATTTTGTTACAACCGGCAACCAGAAACGATACCACAGGGCGAGTTTTTTAGCTACATCCGTTCATGGATTAGCTGCAAGCCGCGACAGGCGGTAACGGCGTTTTGCTGCAACCGCGTTTGGGTCTTGCTACCACTGGTGATGATTTTTGCTACATCCACGCATTTTGGTTGGAACCACGAACTGACAGAAATTCTGGACCCCGTGAACACACAAGCTCCCCGGCAGTGACCACGACCAGGGTAGGAGGTGTTGCAGCTGCAGCCGGAATCTCGACTAGCAGATGCTGGAAGCGGCGACAGCCGGTGCTAAGAGCCACATCGGCAAATGTTGCATGTGTCGATGGCCGGCGGCGATGGAGTTGTGTGGCTTCATCATCCAGCTGCGGCGAAGGCGCAACCTGATGCGACGGAGGGCGACGGGTGGCCCGCGGTGCGGGAGACTACTCCCAGAGCAGGGGATTTTTTTTCT